TAGGAGCTGGAACCAACTTCCAAGGGAAGTGGTGCTGGCCCCTACCCTGGGGGTCTTTAAGAAGAGGCTGGATGCCTACCTGGCTGGACTCATTTGAGTCCCGTTTCTCTTTTTGGGGTTTTTTGTTGTTCTCCCGCCCTGGCGGGGGGTCGGGCTAGAAGATCTACTAGGTCCCTTCCGACCCTTAATCTATGAATCTATGAATCTACTTCATTCAGTAGCCATGAACAAGAATGCTTAATCTTTGAATGGTTAAAAGAAACAACAGCAGCAGATGCTCATTTCTCAAATATTTAATCCTTAAACTGTCGGGTTTTTTGTTTGCTTGCTTTTTCCAGGAGGTAAAACAATCATGCAGCCTGAAAGTTTGACAGAGGAAACAGCTTTTCAAATGAATACCCAATGCTAATTTTGCCAGGATTCTGCCCAAATCCTCAGGTAACTTTCTCTTACAAAAGGCAGTGCACAGTGATTAGCAGCCAGTCTACCACTTGCAGTCTCCTGGTCAAGTCAACATCTACCAGAAAAGTATTCCTCAGAAAGGTGCGGAACATGGAGCATAACCAAGGAGCTTTTTATAAGTTTGCGATTAACCAAATTCAAATCTTAAAGGACAGCAGGTTACCTATCTGGGACAATACAAAAGATTTTCAAGAACAACATAAAATGGATGACTGAAGGCTGATTTAATTCTGGCAGGAATGCAGCAGGCAGAAGCAGCAGCTAGAAATGGCCATCCAACTGCCAAAGGTAATTTCAATTACTTGAAAAACTTAAATTCTAAAACAAATAGAAGTGGGCAAGAAAGAATGCAAGTCTCCACCCCACAAAAAAACATCTAAACTAGTTCTACTAGCAAACGCTAAGCTACAATTATAAAATGTATGTCCTGGTTCCCATCCCTATCAGACAGGAAGACATTATCTGACTGGCACTAAGGACCTTAGCATTCAAATGACAAGGTTCTATGTTACCTTGCAGTAGCTGTCTTGGAAGAGGTATCTTCCAAGTAAATAAGAGTAAATAAGTGAACTTTATAAACCTGTGTCTCCGTGGCATTTTTGTACTGGAATGCCTCCAACCATCTGAGTTTGTATCTGAAAGAAGTGATAACTGAAAAATCCAGAAGGGATGAAGGGTCAAAAGATCAAAGACAATGAATTAATTGTTATGCTTTCAACTTAATATCCTCTAATGCTAATCAATGATGATTATTCAAAAACAAACAGTTCAACCATCAGCATTCAAACAAATAACAACTTGTAGGTTAAATAAGAATAGGGGGTAGAAACAAATAAAAAAACTATTCACGATGTTGTCAAGTTAATGAAGCCTAAAATCAATACAAGTTTCTCTTCTTGTTGCCAGCTAGGTTTCATTTATTTTCTTTTTGAAAGGTCACTGAAGCATTAAAAAAATGTGAGCTTGTATATATAGATTTTGCTCAATAACAGGATTGCAAATTTTTAGTTACCTAATATAGTAAGGAGACTTTTGAAAGGTTTAGGCTAAATCTGTGAAATTAACATGCATAAAAAGTACTAACCTTGTAAGTGTTTAGGCTCCATTTTCTTACAAGTTCCAATTTTTCCATGGCTGGATTCTTTACTTCATCTGCTAACACAACTGGCCCACTTTTCTGCTGCATTCTGCCACCTTTGCAAGATAGAACAAGTTTACCTTTAGGACATAAAAGACACTTGACTTTCAAAAAGTCAAGTACACCAAGTTCATGCAACTGCACTTGTGCATGCAAGAGCCAATTTTGCAGCTAATTTCAGTGCATATTAAAGACGGTAGTGAAATGCATATGAAGGAAACAGAACTGCTCTGAAAAGTCAGGTATGCATATATATGCAATAAAGGAAAAACACAAATAATTGATTATATTCAATAGATACAACACCCCACATACATAAATCGCTTTATTGAGTAATAAAGTTTACGGTGATGTTTGCAGAGTTTGTTGCTACCTTCAAAATTGCTTTTGAGATGTGCTTCATTATTAAAACCAAACTGGCAGCCTCTATAGCCAACACCCAGCTAGAGTTAGCTAACCTAAAAAAACATTTTCATGCTCTCTAGGCAATTAATACTTTACAGAAACATATGAACTGCTTGCTATAGCCAAGAACAATCAACACACGATATAAACAAATATCTAAAACAGGGGGGGCCAGCCTTTTTTATATGTATGCCACAATTAAGTCCTCCCCACCACAAGTGCCTCTCTCATCCACTCCCACACAGGCACATCTGATGGAGTTTGCACACTGAGAAGCTGAAGGGAGGGAGTAGTTAGCTACAATCATACAGAGCAGAGTAGGATGCTGCTTTAAGAGTGGCCTCCTCTGGTCACTGAACCCTGTGCTTGGGATCCTTACTCACCATGTAAAAATGAGGTGGCTGTTGGGCAAGGGAAGGGTTAACATGACTTGAGGCACTAACATCTGACATCTCTTGCAACAGTTTCCTGTCTGCTTCCCGATTCCTTTCTGGTGCTTCTTTACTTAACACCAAGGGCTTGCATGCCACCCACAGCAGTTGTCCATGCCACTTGTGGCCTGAGTGTCACAGGTTGCCCACCCTGGTCAAAAAAGTTTCCTCATAACACAGGAATAAGAAATTCACAACATTTTCTAGATCATATTGTGCTCATCCTCTGCATGTTCAATTAATGTTAGGACAGAAACCCTAACTCTTTGTGCAATTAATATCTATCAAGTCATCATTCAAGAAAGTATGAAATCCATCCATCCCTATTAATATTCCAATGCACTGCTTGCTATGGCTTCTTTACCGCTAATTTTTAAAGGGTCATGAACAGTCCCAACATTTAGAAGTTACAAATCAGTAGGGAAAACTATTTGATTCTGCACTAATTTTTTTTTATTAAATGTATACAAACACCGACCTGAGAAATGGTAACAATCACAGGTTGGCTGGCAGCATGTTTGCCATGTCTACAGTACCAGCCCAAATTATGCCAAGTGTATTAACACCCTACAAATAAAGGGGGAAAACAACATATGAAGGGCACGGTAGTTTGCTTGCTTGCTAGAATGGAAGTCAGCACGACTCTCAGTACATGCTTTCTTAGTGTACTTCACTGCATGTACTGAGAGTCGTGCTGACTTCCATTCTAAAAAACAGCAGCACAGAGTGTCTGCCAAACGCAAAAGGAGGAGTCAGTATAGAAACGTTTAATTTCCTTTGAAAGTACTATCCTGTGTAAACAGAACTGAGATGCTAACAAAATGCCAATCCAAACTTGAGGGGAGAAGGAAAAACTTATCTATCCATTCATCATATTTTGTGTAACCCCAAATATGGTATACTGTATTATACAAAATATTATTTATATATTAACACAAAAATATTACACAGCCAGGTTATTCTGTTAACAAGGGTTGGAAAAATGAGATGTCTGTAGGTATCTACAAATATTCCTATAACACTGGCTGTGTCTACACAAGACTGACTGCACAGCAGTAACGAGCTACTGCACAGTCAGTGTCACCTAAAAGCCATTCGGCAATGCTACTGCATAGTAACAACAGTTACTGCACAGTCATTTAATACATGTGTAAGCAAGTACTAAATGACTGCTTAGTAACAACTGTGCAGTCAGAGTCTCGTGTAGACATAACCACCAAGTACTAGCAGGTTTTAAATCCTTAAAGTGCTAAACAATAATCATCATCATAAGTAATTAATCCTCATAAGATGCTCAAGAAAAATAAATTACCATTTTCCCCTTTTTAAAGAGAGGGCAAATGGACATAAAAGATGGAATAATTCACCGTCAGCAACAGATCAAATCAGTGACAAAGCAAGGTTGGGTGTTGTGAATTTCCAAAGTCCTATGCTATGCTTAGCCTTTTGGATTGTGTTGCTCCTTTTGACAGACAAAAGAAAAATGCTGAGAGATTTAGCATCAATATAAACTGAGAGATTTAGCGCCTGCATAAATATTCTGTTAATGATTGTTTGTTTTATTTGTTGTTTAAAGAGTAAAATCACATAAATTACACTTAATGCTCTGGAAACAAAGCTATACAGAAAGAAAAGCACAGGTTACTTTGCAGACTGTTAAAGCTTATAAGCCCAGAGGTGAAAGAACTACCAAAAAAGCCAGAATTGCATCCCCACCTAGTAATAAATCAAATTACTACAGATATTACGGAGTTAGTGTTGTCAGCAGAGACAAGGGCGTTATCCGCTCAGTGCAGTGAATACCTGTGGGAATAATTAAATCACAACCTTGTCCAGCCAGTCTGCTAGCTGCTGCACTGCTAGGAGATATAACAGATGATTTGGGTGATGCTGAGGAACCTGAAAGGGGGACATATTTAACCATAAAAAAAATTAAATTCCTTCTTAAAAAGAAACATGTACTCTTTATGTATAAACAGACAGTTTTTAATATTGGAGATATACTTGGCTCAGCAACTAGTAGAGTGTATGGAAGAATCGTTAGATTTTCTGGTGGAAAGTTGCAGCTGTTCATGTGAACTACTCCAAGTTATCCTGAGTTAATCATTTTTCCCCTCTAACAAGAAATTGGCAGCATGACTAAAATTTCTCAAAATACAAGTGACAGATGGGGCAGGCAAAAACTCACATGTAGCATTAACTGTTTAATTTTTTTTTCAATGGGAATCCGATTTCAATTGTAGGTAAAATTCAATCTGTACTTTCAATGGGCTACAAACTAGAACTTCGAGATACTTTAACCCTGGTTTCAATTCCAGGTTTATATTAGCAGGTGCAAGAACAGAAGTTAATCATGTATAATTACACACACACATGCGTTCGCACACTATGCAATAATGCAAGATCTGGAGCGAGACATTAGGGATCTAAAAAGTTAACATTTTTTGAGAAGAGAACTTTCTAGTGAAAAAAATATTCATTCCATTAAGAATACCAAAGTTATTGGCATCACTTACTCCAGAGTTTTGGATATTCTCATGTGCTACTGATAGATTTGTGCGTTTCCAATCACACGAGAAATAATCAAGTTACTCATTTAACTGCAGCAAAGGCAGCCTTACAAAATTTTACATGATAGTTTACTTTATTTTGGCATTACCTAATTAACATGCAAGTGAGGAGTTCATTTTGTGCCTCAGTTGATAAACTGATAAGCTATTTTTTCAAAGGTTTTTGAAGATCTACTGGGTCAACATGCCTTCAAAATACTCCTTGAGCACACTAGTGACTTCCACAAGTTATTTCACAGATTCACTATCACCAAAAAAAATCTCTCTAAGTAATTGAAACAATGATTTTTTTTCTAATGTCCATTATGGAATCTTTGAAGCAAGAAGCATCTCCCTGCCAACTGTAAATATAAACACTTTAATTAAATCGTTAGACTACATTAAAAACAAAATTAAATTGAGGCTCCAAGACTTTAAACTTGTCCTTTCCTGACATAACATTCTGTAATAGCTACAACTGGATTCTGAAGTTACAAAAGTCTGAATGCAGAATCTTACTGAAAGTCTAGGGATGTGTAAGCAAGCTAGGAACAGCATTTCATTCCTATGTTTATAGTTTCCCTTCCATCTTGCACAGCAATATGCAGTCTTAGTTATGATTTGTTTTTCATACCTCCCCCATCTAAGGACTTCAATTTTTATTTTTCCCTCTTATTAAGTAATTTTGACAAAAGTTGAAAAGTGTTCAAAATGGGGCAATATTTTATCTTTTTATTATTTGTAATAGTTGAGGTCTAATTTCCACAAGGAAGTTTCCTAATTCCTCATTCACAAAAAGATGATTAGGAATAAATTATGTTCTATATCAGTGGTGTTCAACCTTTGGCCTTAGGGGCCAAGTGCGATCCACATGGCCATGTCACCTGGACTGCAGAACTCCCCACGAGTCTGGAAATTTGGCAGCCAGGGGGAGCAGTGGCAGCATTTAATTGCTATGATTTCCACAGCTATGGCCATTAATGCTGCCACGACTCCCCAGCTGCCAAGTTTCTGGAGCTCTGGGGACACCTGTGAATTGGATGACAGTTCTGTGTGTCAGTTCAGGCTGAAACCGTATTCAGCACAAAGGGCTGGGTCGTTCTGTGGAGTCACTCTAAAGCCAAATCCAGCACACAAGGCCAGACTGGCATGCCAGATCACACCAAGGATTGACCCTGCACACTGACCCTACACTGGATCCAGCCTGCAGAGTGGTCCTTCGCCACTTATCTAGCCCATGGGGCCAACAAATTAAACACCACTGTCCTACACATCTTATACAAGTTCCATTGCTAAAATAGTTGTGCAAGGAGGCAAGGTTTTCTTAGTAGGGGTGCACCGATAAAGATTTTCGTGGCCGATACCGATAGCTGATGATTAACCAACCATATTGACTGATATCGATCTGATAACTGATATTTAGTAATAGTGCAAGGCATTTTAAACTACTGACATAAATAAACTTTTTTTGTTTGTTTGTTTTGCATTTAACACACACACACACCCACCTCCTGCCTGCTCTGGCCCTTGATCAGGAAGGCGGTGACCACCTTATTCCCATACATGTTGCCTCCTTGCTCATGGCTCCTACCCGCAGCCCCGCTCAACCCATGCAGCTGTCCCAAGCAGGTGGGGCAGACCCTCCCGTGAACAGCAGTGCCAGGCATATATGGAGCCCCAGAGCACACTTGCCTTACTGCCAGCAGGCTCTGCACAGCCAAGCTCCTGTGGCCACCAAGGAGAAGCTATTTTTGCAAAAGTGCCCAGTGCCTAGTGGAGCAGAAAGAATGTCCCTCGCATAGTACCTTCCCCTGCCTGCACACAGCCCAATGTCCCAGAAGCAGTCCCGGTGCTCAGGCCCCTGCTGCACACATGGCTTGCTCTGGCAGCAGCAGAAGCCAGTAATGGTCCCTTTGTTGCTGAGCACGGTGCCCAGTGACCGCTTCCTGGCGCTCCCTCCACTTCCCCTTCCCACTGCTCGCTGGAACCTGTAGTCTGCCACAGGCTCAGGCCAGCAGTAGGGCATGGTGACCAGACTACACTCACCAGGGTGCCCTGGGCACGCAGCTGTAATTATTGGCTACAATGACCAAAAATAGCCAATAATTTAATTTCTCCTTTTATCAGTGCTGAACCAACAGCCAACCGATATATCGGTGCACCCCTATTTCTTAGGATGATATCCTTTATTGGACCAACTATGAGGTAGTGTAAGAGTGATGTTGTAGCCATGGTGGTCCATAAATTATGGAAGAGCTAAGGATTTCTTACCAACACAGAGCATTTGCAATATTCCAAAATGATTAACGCAGCTTGAACAGCATCTTGGATACCAGTTAGTTATCTTCTGCAACAATGGCTGTTTCATGGATTTCTTACTTCATTACAGACAGAATAAGTGTAGTGATGGAGAACACTTGTTTGCTATACATTTATACAGCTTCTAATAGCCAGACAGCTAGATTCAAAGATGGTGAAACCAAGACATTAACTAAGTAATTTTTTTTAAGTCAGGATATAAACCAAAATGTAAAGTTTTAAACTTATAAAAGCAACAAATGATATATGTAAATTAATTTGCTGCTACAAAGACTCATGTTCACATCTGCTCATTTGTTATTCATTTAGGTCTTTTAAATTCATAATTCTGCTCTAGATAAAATAAACCACGCAAAAGTTTATTACAACTTCACATGAATGTCCTGTTTCCTGGTGTTCATTATTGTTTCCAGACACAGTCGGATAAAGAGAAACAAAGAGTGATATCACTAGTTTATTTTATAATTTCAGCGTTAGCTTTAATTACATACTAAAAATGGTTACTAGGATACAGTGTGAAATTTACATTCAATACAAAAAACCCACTAGTTTGTGATTCATAGTGCAATCAAGTAAGTTTTCAAAAAGACTTCATTCCCCTGAAGTACAGCATTTGTTTAAAAAACACAGATGTTAAATATGTTTCCCCCACCCCCCCAAGGATGTAGCCTTTTAATACATTAACAGCAAAACTAGGTCTATTCACATTGAAGAATCCTGTCGCTCTATGCTCTTCCATTTTCAGTATAATCCATTTTTTTTCATACTTACAGGACCTTAATATATGCACCATGATAAAAAGGGTGGAGGAGGGGGAATTTAGTGTCCGTAGAAACGGCAAACCTAATTCTATTCACTTCAGAAAGCTAAACTGGCTACTTAAGAGTGATAGTTGGGAAGAAAAAAAAATAAAAATCAATTCCACTATGTAAGTTTACAATAAGTAATACTTCTAATTCTTTAAAGACAATTAGAGTTCTAAACAAAATAAAAGTTTCTTCTTTCTTTGGAAAGTTTCATATATATTACATGAACACACATCTAACATGAAGAAACATCATTGTTTTGGGTTCCAAGATACTGATAAGAAAGGCAACTCTTACATAAAACTGGAAGCTAGTTAAAAAGTTGGTATAGTCCATTAGTAGTTTTTATTTTCCCCTTGAGAAACTGATAATCTAATATTGCCATTTTAGTAGCAAGCATGTCGCACCTTCACAATCATTACTATATAAAAGTGATCAAGGCAGCTGTCAACTCTGAGAATCTGATCACTGTGAGGCGGATTTCATGCAAGTCCAAAACAAACCTGATCAGTTGAATTGTTATCATTAAAAACTGAAACATTCAAGCAGTTACTATTACCTTGGAATGGTCCTGCTTCTATGACTCCCTCTTTGGTGTTGTCAGAGCCATGAGATGTTATTTTGGTTTCAGAGAGTCCAAGTCCAACTGGTAATGAATGTTTCAAATCCTTGGAAACATGTGAATAAAAAGGAAAATTCATGCAAAAACCCAAATAAGAAAACATTTAGGCATTACATTATCTTGTGCAGATCACTTTAAACTATTCTGTCTGCGGCACAAAACCTCATTTATGGTGTAATGGCATTCTATTATGATGCATTAGGGCCAAACATTCTTATAAACCTGTTGTAGTGTTTACAAAATACATCAGAGGTTAAACTCTTTTTATTCACTGAAGCATATGAAAGAAAAACTCTTCCCTCTGTAATGTCAATTTACTGAAGAAGTTATTTAGGCACACAATACATATTTAGCTTTATTTTTCAGTGATTAACTCCTACAAATATCTCACTAATAACTGGGAACTAGAAGCCTCATCACCCTCCTGTAGGCTTGTTCACATGAGAAAAACTAAAATAAACGATTTTGCAACAGTTGCCTATGTGGACACTCTCACTCTGCACTGAGTACCTTTGTGCAGTTTAGTCCATCTTGAAAAGCAAACTAAGCTGCAGAAATCAGAGGGCCAGATCCTATTTCCCCCTGCTCAAGTCCCTAGGAAAAACAAACAAACAAACAAAAAAGCATTAACATGCCTACATTTGTAACATGTTATCATCTTATTTTGAAAGACAGTCACAAAAAGCAGGAGCAAGACTAGCACCTTTTGATTTAAATGCTTTATGGGACTCAAGCAGAATGAAGTAGGATCACCCTCAGGCAGTTAAGAGGTGGAACAAGATCCGGTCCTGAGTATCCACTTGGGGACTAATACAGAAGGGCTGCTATTAAATTCCCAGCCTAGAAGGGGTTGGAGTAAAGGAAGGGTGGAGGGGGAGGGATGGCAGGAAGGGCAGGGGAGGGAGTTACGGAGGGTTTTTTCCACAGGAAAGCCAAGACAAAATTTTTCCCTATTTATTGGATGTGTAGAGCCAAATACATCTTTAAATGCTTTGTTCATGCTTATCACTTACAAACATCTCGCATGTTCACACATATATTGTGAACACACTAAATGTAGGCAAAAGCTAAAATGGATGAGACAAAAAATACGCAACACGTACACCCAGATTACAAGACAGGGAAACCTGTGGTATAACATATCAGAAACACTTTCACCTCAAAATAAAAAAAAAAACCCAACACATTAATCAAAATGCTTTCCTGGTTAGCCTTGGACCTAAAGTCCTGAGCACCAGATCTTCTTTCAGCTTCAAGAAACTGACCTCCACCTTCACAAGCAATATAGGTTTATCTCAACTATAAAATTCTTAAAATTCTGTTAATGTATTAAAAGACTGAAGCATAGTTCTGCTTTTGCAAGGGTCACTTAAAATAATATTCTGTAATCTATTCATACATCTGACATCACTGCATTTTTAAGTTTACAACTAACACACTTTTTAATAAAAAACTGCAACCATATAAAGCATGAATCTTTATTAGACAACACACCATGTTTGCACATCACTAAGGTTTTTATTGTGTTTTAGAAGCAAATATAAGACTGTTATAGTTCTAGCACATGTCTGAAGGGCAAGCTAAAACCTAGATTCTGTCACTGTCTTCACTTCAGTCTGTTTAATGTATGTGAAAAGGATTGCTCTTGTGTTTCCACTTGTAATAAGAACTTCTGGGACTTCTCATTGCGTCAACAAATATTAGGAAAGTATCAGCTTTGGTCTAAAAGTTAGCTATGTCTTCACTCTGATTTTCAGTTAGAACACCTACCTCCGGCTAAATATAACACCATGTTTGGTCAGAAGACAGCCTAAAGTCATTGTTAACAAGGCCTGAAGACTGTTTTCAACCGTTGTATTTAAAATTTAGCAAAGTTCTTTCTTGAATATCTTATTCACAAGAAAGTTAAGACTTGGGTAGACCAAAACTACTTAAGGATTCATTTTGAATTTGAATGGTTTGGGGCATTTTTTGGTCTAAATATTTTGCGCTCATATTTTCAAATGGATATATTCTGGGGATTCCTCCAATCCCATTTTAAAAATTTTTTTGCTTTAAAAATTCTAAATTCCAAAAGGATAAAGATCTCCCAAAAGTCAAACTTTTAGTTTCCTCTAAAATGAAATGTTTGCTGTTGGCATTTTTCAGGACTACCAGTGAATCAAAATAATCGAATATTCATACAACTTTAGTTATATTACTACGAAACATTAATTGAAGACCAAAGCCAGGTATAAACAAAGCATAAGTGAACAATGTGTTTTGGACTAGTAATAATCCCTACAGTTGTATCTTCAGAATTCTTTTGCTACCAACAACTGAAAAAGATTAATCTTTACATTCAAGTCCCCAGCTGTGTTTGTGAAGTTGGTAGTTAGAAAAATCATGTTTGACAACTGAAGAAGTATAATGAGGAGATGGATATAAATATGGAATTCCACTTTCATTTTTATTTAGTTACTCACCAGAGGATTACATTTTAAAACAAAACCACTAAATGGAGTTGCTTTTCACTGAAAATAAGGGATTCCCCAACCTTCCCCATTAGCTGCCCTTCCTTCACGAAAGCAAGAGTGAGTTTTTGGCTACCTGACCTCTTCCACTTCTTAGAATAAGCGACACTGTGCATTTTAAAATTAAAATTACTACTGGATTTGGAAGGCTGGCAGTGAAAAAGAACAGAGAAAGCATTCACACTACTGCTAACTTGGAATGTTAATAGACTAGAAGCTAAGTTCATTTCTTTTCTCAGGCTTTTCAGAAAAAAAGGGTGAACCAAACAATATTTGTGCACTCAGAGTTGGAATGGTTTCCCCCTACCCCACCCCACTAATCACCATTTTGTGATACTGGGAACACTGATGATGTTTGAATTACTTAATCATATGAGCAAGACCTCTCTAGAGCCACAAATAGATGCTTTACTTTATATAAGTGCCTGCAAAGTTAACAAGGAAGAGTGACAAGAATATTTAATTTCTTACTGATAGACTGGCATTAGGATATCTTATGCTTTTGTTAGGCAGTAATAATTCATCCAGATTCAATTCATTAGATAAATATGAAGGTATATCAGGCAGGATGTGTGAAAAGCTTGATCTGATCAAGTTCTTAAGGGGTAGGGCTTAATATTGTTTTTATCTCAAATTTAAGACATAGGAATGAAATCTAAATGGGAGCATGTAGAAACAAGCACACCAAGTCTACTTCTTGAAAAGTAACTTAATTTTCTATAGTATAAGCTATATGCCATGTACAGACATGCAGATTCTCCTAAAAGAGTTGCTGCCGTCCCAGGAGAAACCACGGGTATTCAGGATATTTCTTCCAGAGCAAACATGGGCCAGTCCAGGAAAAAAAATAACCCAGGAACAACCAGGATTAAAATTCTAAAAGAGTTTCTCCTGGGAGACAGAATGTCTGTACATGTTCTTTTCTGAGAGATGCCATGGTACAGTCCTCCAGCACCTCAGCCATTGTCGTTTGTTCCCACACTTCCCAGGGAGACTGTCACTTGTTGGACTTTTACTAACCAAGCACAGAGCAAAACGTACCTCCTTCTCAAGACAGGAGACACAGGCTGACCCTGAGCAGTCTGGATCAGCCAATCAATGCTGCCCTGTGCACTGCTGTCATCTGTTTCAGGCAGACTGAGGGAGTCTGCAGAATACACCAAAATGTGTGCACAGGCTGTGCAGTGTCAACATTGCAAGCTCTCTCTGCTCATCAAGGGTTTGGCATAAAATGTCTGTTCAGGTGCCTCTGGGTAAGTTTTTCTACTAGGAAAACAAACCTGGAAGACTTCTCCCAGATCATTTTAACATATGTATGCAGCCTTAAATAAAACATTAGCGAAGACCTCAAAGTTCTCATACTGTACATGAATCTTGTGATAATATTATTTAGTGACCAGATGAAAACATGAAGAAAAACTTTTCCTCCTGAGCTGACAAGTATTTAATTATCTCTTTCCCTATCAAATATGACAGTTCTAAGCTTGGGCAGGGGGAGAAGACAGTAGTTACATAATTGTCTACAGACTGTCAAAGGCACAAAATACAAACAGCTGTTTAGAGGCAGCCATGCTGATTGACAGCTATACTTCTAGTCAAACCTGCCATAAGCAATTTTACATCATGATGATGAGTCATTTTAAGTATACAAATGTCTACATCTGCTTTAGGAAAAGATGTCATGTTTAAAGTTCAGAATCCGAATTAAGCCTCAGCCACTTAAAGGTGGACTTTTCAGAAGGGCCCTTCAGAAGTACCCAGTAAACTTGTTCTTGAAAAGGACCAAACTGATGAGAAAATAATTAATTCACGGTGGAAAAATATTTACAGAAGCTAAATCCTTGCTGATCTGGAATCCAGGCCATGCACACGAATTCTATGCAACAACCTGGAATGAGCAGGCTTATATCTGTTGACAATGATGCCTCAGCTAGAGAACTGTGTTCCCCATATAGGTGGGGTACATAGTGTTACCAAAGACAAATCAGGGAAAATAAGACTGGCGGCAAAAAAAGACTCCTTTCAAGGTCATCCTCAAAAAAAAAAAAAAAAAAATCAACCTGGGAAAAGGCAAAAATCACCTAGGAAAATGAATA